TTAAAAATCCAAACAAGGAGAAGAAGTCAACCTCCTCTCACTCTCCCTCCCTTATTATTTGTCCTCTTCCTTTTCTATCAGTCACCTTGTTACGCCCCAAAATCGGGAGCGAAACAAACGTCGTACACTTGTGAGAGGATCCCACAAATGCACAAGGCTTGGAACTTATTATATTCATATCTAACAATTCATATAAACTTATATCAAGATCTCAAAATAACATCTAGCTTACAAAAGAATGATCTAAACAATATATAAATTAATTAATTATTCAATATAAGTACTCAAAATTTTGAGGTATTACACACCCTCAATCTAAACAATACATAAATGTTTATGACAGACACAATGAAACTCAAAGAAAAGTGTAAAGATAAATAATAATCAAGTAAATGTCGAGAAACACAAAGCTAAGGGAATAAGCATTGGTGATTGCAGCTCAAGTATATATGTTGAGCTTTAATTGCCTTTTATCCAATTTTAGGTTTTGAAACACACCAACTCAAAGACTTTCTCTTCTTAAATAGAACCATTGAATATAATTTCATTTCTCATGAGTTAGATAAACCAAGCAACTATGAGGATGGTAACAAACCAACACTCCCAAAACCAAATGCAAGTTGTAACAAAAGGTTAGGGGCAAAATCAAATGGAATAAAATAAACACCTAGCATCTACATACACGAAGCTAGGAATGCCGAATGGTGGAATAGCTTGCAAAAACATAATTAACCTCATCATCAACCAATCTATGGAACACACACAAAGGATCTTAAGACAAGTCTATACCTTTATTAATAAGGTCTTCTTCTGTGGGAAGTCAATTGTGAAATAGTGGCCCATAGAGCACATTGACCTTCGTAGGAACAACTTTGGTCCAAATAAGTTGACATGCTTCTTTGGTGAGACAAGATTCTACACTATTAAGAAACACATAAGTCTTCATTTTGATGAATCTAGATAGGCAATGGAACCAAGAAATCTAATATGGTTTGTTCTAGCAAGCTAAATCCCTTATAGCAAGGATCTAGACTTGGAAGTTTATCTAGCTCTCGATTGAAGATCTCAACTCCAAGAAAAATTCCACTACCAACCTAAAGCTTCTTTAGGCTTTGAGTCTATAATGACGTAAGTCTCTAACAGGATAAGATTAAATAACCTTGGAAAAGCATTTAGCTTTTTGACAGGGAAAGATTAAATAACCTTGAAAAAGCATTCTTTAGAGAAATGGAACCAATCCATTTATCAAGCTAGAATCTAGTCTTTAACACATTCCTAAGTTTCAAAATAAAACTAGAATAAAAACATGAGGATGTGTAGACACTTAAAAAATAATAATTAAAATTAAAATATTAATATCTAAAGAGAGCTAGCAAATAAAGTGGGGGTGAAATTTTTTTTGACAACTTGAATCATAAATATCTTCTATGATACTAGTTAATTTTTTAAAGAATATTAACAAAATTAAGAAATGAATATATTTTTTCATATCTCTAATAATTTTTTATCAAGTGAATCTTTTATTAAAATGAGAAACAACATCTCACTATGATATACTTAAACAATGACTTAGCTAATTCAAATAATCTCAAAATTTTACTTTTTCTATCTCAAAATGTCTATTTTTTTTATTGATTTGTCTATTAAAAGTTTGGTAATGCTATAGTTACAAGCCACCTCAAATTGTAAACTTACAATTTTACATAATATTAAATGAGTAGAGACATATAATATAACAAGTGGACTCTTGAAGGAAAAAAACTAATTATATAACGACACATTATGTTGTAAGCTTATGATACCATATGGCATTGTAACTATAACATTTTTTTTTATTAAAAGTTATCTTTCTTTCATTAACAAAAAAATGAAAGATGGAATATATAATTAAGTAGTTTTTAGAAGCTGAAATAATTAACTAAATAAAACTCAGACAATTCAAAATCTTAAAGGAAGAAAATCTTTGTGTTTATGTTTAATTAAGAGTTTTAATTCCTAATTTAATTAATAAGCTGTAAATTAATTTATTTATATTATAATATTCTCATCTTTTGTAAAATATTTAATTAAGTCTTAATATTCTCTTGTGTTTGAAATGATTATTATAATAAAAATATTATAAATTATAAATTATATTAGTTTAAGTTGTTATTTATGAAATTTAAAGATTATAAAGATTTTAATGAGAATAACATAAAATTTTACATAATAAAATAATAGTTAAAAACTTTAAAAGAAAAAAAATATATATGTATAAAAATTAAAAATTTCCAAAAGTTGAGGGGTAGCTACCCCCTCTCTCTACCCCTATTAATATCCCTTAAAATCTTGGAAGTTGGGAAATTAAAATCTTTTGGAGAGATTTTATTTTTTATTAAAAAAATTATTTGTGAGATAACCAAACTATCTTTAATTAAAGTATTTGAAATCATTTGGTAAGTTTCATTTGGCTATAAATAGGCTTTCATTCAGTCAAAAAAAATAAAATAAAAGAGAGGAAGAAGAAGAAAAGAAAGAAGAAAGGAAGAAAGCACTTGCTAAAACTTCTAAACACTCAATAATTATCAAAGTTTCGATTTTTAGCTAAAGGAAGTCTTATCTCCATGCCAAGAATACGTTCCAAATCCCTTTCAAAGAAAAATCTTAACATCAAATATTAAATTCTTTCTAAAGCTTTAAAGGACAAGATTAAACCAAGGCTTTCAGTCTTCCAAATTCAATTATAAATAGAAAATGATCATGTTGTTCCAAAACATTCCACTGGTTAAAGTTCAAGCACATGAATTATTATACCCCAACTTAAAGATCATTTCTCATTTCTTTTAAATTCTTTGTAATTTATATTTATTATTTAACAAATCAATAAAAATTATTTGATTTTGTAGATTTTTTTGTTACACATCTTTGGTGACTCTAGTAGGGAGATCACTACGATCTTCTATTGAATCTTTGGTGATGTCATTTGATTGTTTTCACAAGCATTCTAAAATGCCACTTTATTAATGCTCACACTTTGTTTCATGAGGAAGTGTAGAAGTTTAAGAAAATTATCTCAGTTGAAAGAGTTATTAGATTTATTAGATTTATCATGATACTGCAAAGTTAAGCCTTGACATAAATGCCGTTTGATACAATTAATTGAAATGCACAATTGTATACGATATTCACTTCAACTTGCTGAATTATGATCGGAAAAGATTGTTGCAATGCTCTAATTTTGATTCATCAAAGCTTCACACATCATTTTAGCATTATTATGTGTATTAGAGACATTACCAACACGCTTTTGTAATATTTTTTTTTGTCTTTTCAAATTTTAAAACCATGAGAAATCCAAATAGCTTCAGCATCATTTTGTAGAAAAACATAATAATTTAAGCAAAATGCAGCATCTTTAGACACATTATATTCTAACCAACTAATGTTATTATAACACCAAAAACGAAGGAAATAATAAGGTTTATTTTCAATCATAGTAAATGAAACATTATGCCCACAAGAGTTGACAAGGTCCTTTTCGCAAATATGCTCTTCTCACTACATTTTGAATATTAACATAATAAGATGAAATTAGAGGTCTCTTCCCATGATCAAAAATCAAATCCTCCAAATTAAAGTCTTTATGCAATTTTTCCTCTTGAATATTTGCACTGTCATTACATTTTTTTTCTACTTGAACTTTTTTGAAAAGTATCTTCCCATTTATGTTTGAAAAAAAAAAGAATTTAATCATTAAAATTTTAAAAATTATTCTAAATCAATACTTAAATAGAAAAAAATTTAGTTCACTAACATATTTAACACACTAGTAACATTTAAAATAAGTTTTGGGTGTAAATTTAGTCTACATAGGATAAATTGGGGGTTTTTTTTTTTATGTCCTTAGAAAAATTCATAAAAACTAACTACAAAATTAGAAAGAGACAAAAAAAGAAAAAAGAGTTAAAAGTAATAATTACTAACCTAATAAAATACAAACACTGCACTCATATACTGATATAAGAAACCAATGAAGAAGAAAGATGGAGGAGAAAGGTGAGAGTATGAATATTTTTTGAACTTTATGGTTCTAATTAGGGTTCTCTTTTAGTTTTCCACTTTATCATAATTTCTCATTTTGTTCTAGATCCTCTTACATTAGTTTTTCACTTTATCTATCTCTAATTAAATGAGTAAAATCTTGTATAATATTTCTCATTTAATGGGCATGGCCTTACATGTAGAAAGCTTGAAAATTACAAGAATTTGTTGAGGAGAGGGTAGGGCTTGTGCCTAACCCTTCCCTAACATGGATTTGCCTTTGTTAGATGGTTACTAACCACCAAATTTTCAGAAGTTTAATTGTAACATCCCTTTTTGGTAAACCTTTCGGTTTATCAAGTAAGGAAATGTACTATACTAGATATAAAAAAAAAAACAGAAAGAAATATCTATAGAAAAAAATTACAACGGAAGTAAA